GCATATTTTCAATATCTCAGTAGGGACATGAACATTGTATTCCAGAGAGGACAGTTTTTTTCCAAAGCACAGGATAAGATGTCTTTTCCTGCTGTCATCACTATTAATGAGAAACATATCGTTCTGCCTGTGTTTTACGTCCGTATTTCTTTACTTTCTAGTTCTGGTTTTATTTTGACAAGAAGGTACATGTATATCTCATATACTCAGCCAGTATCCCGACTTTCTATCATAATTTTTCTAATACAGTTAGAATTACACTTGATATAGAATAAGAACTAACCTGCATTTAGATGAATATAACATGACCCAAGCTTTTCCACAGCTGTTTAATTATATGACCGGACCAAATAAGATAAATTTGCAAACTATCTGCTGACCACATTGTGTTGGTCAACAGGGCGTTTTCTGACCGAAACTCTGCTCTCTTACTTAGCATTTGCTGTAGTTAAAATCATGGGTGCTCATCAGCAACCGCACAGTGTGACTAAGTGACCTCATGGTCTTACATCAAAATATAGCCAACCAATACACAACAGAAACACAGTTGGAGTTACTATGCAAACACAGAAGGAGTTGAATCCCTGCTGATTATGGGAGGGATCCAATGCAATCAAATACAGCGGGACAGTGACTGAGAACCATACTATATTATACCATTCATTAATTTTCATTGTAACCACACTTTCAGTTCAATGCAATTCTGAACTATGAAACACACACAAACACTTAACACACCCATGTCACCAAACACCCCACACCAGCTAATTCTCATGACAGAATCCCCCTCTTCTGGCTTCAAACTGTGGGTGGTGCAGGCATTACCACACAGTGGTACAGTAGGAGGGGTGCACTGTACAATAATCCACCGTGCCAACAGATGTTTTTAATGACAGAAAGGCTATTTCAGCTGAAGCCTGAGAAAAGGCGAAATGAAGAATGCAAAAGGAGCAATGCTGTCATAAGCTCAATACCGACAGATTCCAAGGAAAACACTGATCAAAGCTGTGTTTTGATTCCATTCAATCCAGATCATGAAAGTAGAGTTTGTAGATATACCTGACCTTTTTCCTATCATCAAAAATCCTCAACAAAGAGCCAGAAAAACTTTCATCATGACTCACCGTGTCCTGTGGTTTATGGCATTACGACATAGACTTTTCTGTGCCTTATCATTCAGTCAGTACAATATAATATGCACCTGCCACTGCATTGCCTTATAGATATGGAAAGATTAAAAAGAACCTTTAAATGTCCCCTTCAAGACATATATGAATATTTTGCTTAGAACAATAATGTGTGTTTTCCACAAAGAAAGTATAATTTCCTCATTAAAATCCTTTAAAAGGCATCTACTCCTTCTACCTCATAAACAATCCAAATCTATGAATATGCAAATTGTGTTCATTTTAAAGTTCCTGCTGGACACAAGATGTCTCCTACTTCTAATTCCATTCTCAGTCTGAGTCTGTGCACTGGAGGCTTCAAGTTTATACATCACACTTGTATAAGTTGCGTACTGGACCAGGCTTTACTATTTATGATGTCACAAATCATGCTTGTAGGCCTGCTCCTTAAAATCTGATTTTAAGGAGAAACAGAGAAATGTTCTTTTTATGTCAAACTCTGCACGTACATCATTCTGCACAGTGAGGGTCAAACTCCCTTAAAAATAAATAAAATGGGCGCACGGTTAGCTCAGTCGGTAGAGCTGGTGACCCATA